AGCAGACCTTCAAATTTTAAAAATACCATTAAAATATATATTGGGTTATCCATGGGTGGCACATTTTGATGGTATTTTGGTTAAAAATATCTGACCTACCCATCACACTATTTTTCTTCTGGAATAAGTTTAACTATTTTGCACTTTTATATAAAATAAAATACAACATTAGAAGTTTCAATTTAAATTTATTTTATCAAGGAATCAGCCAAAACTTTAGTCATATATACCGGTAGTCATTTTATAGGACCAAATCACCTAAATGTATTTTTTTATATACTGGTCACTCATTTTTCTATTCAGCTTCTGTTCATTTCTCTCTTGTTAATTTACCACAAGCATTTCCCAAGTATCCATTTCCCAGTGCATTCGAATTACTTTTGTTTCATTTTCATGTAACAAAATTATTCCACCTTTGCTTCCTTTGATAAACACACATTCCTTGTAACAGACACATAATAGTCACTACTTTTCTCCTAGCATTTGCACATCTTAAGATCTGTCTATTCAGTAACTCATCTTTAAACACCATTCTCCCAACAAATAGAAATTCATCTCCTTGATCTAATTACTTGCAATTTTTATATAATCTGCAATCACCTATTCCATTTTCCTTGCTGGCCACAAATATCTTGGAGCTTTCTACATTAATTTTCAAGTTCATATTCTTTGTTACCTCATACAAACTAACATTCATTTGAAAATATGAAAGTTCTCATCCATCAATAACATAATAATAAACATGATGATTGTTTCCCTCATCTGCAAACAAAATTACACAGAGTTGCCTCAAACCACAAGATAGGCATCAAATAAATTTAATACAAAATAAATATGTTTATACATTTCTACAAACATTTTATACACTTATATATAAATAAAGCTAATCAATGGAATGTCAGTGATACCTGGGTTTTTTTCCTGCTGTGTTAAACATATAATTTATTCTCATGTATGATTTACTTCCATTATATCGCTCTCTTAGATAATTTGTAATCAATCTTTAACTGCATAGTTACACAAAATTCAAACCTATTTTTACAATATATTTATTTATTTATATCTCTCCTTTATGTTCTCTACACATAGAATTAGGTTTCTTTTCTACTTTCATGCATTTCTCAGAGACCTGCTGAAGAACAAAAGTTTTCCAGATGTAGCACCAGTATAGCACCTCTTCCCAATGTTTCTCACTGTCAACTCTTGTCAGTCAGATTGTGCTAAATACTCTCCCAGGCAGGCTTAACAAATGAATCCTGCTGTAGTATTTTGCATTTATTCTTCCTACCTTTCTTTTTGTATAAGGAACAATAATGGCATCCTTCCAGTAATCAGGCATTGATGTAGCTTTCACATACACTAGACATACCCTAACTAGTCACACAGCCAGTCCGCAAGCAAACCAAATCCATATTTTAATATTTTTCAATTAGCCCATAGGCACAGCCTTACTATTTTTTCAACATTCTCAAAATATTCATTATTGCCTTTTCAACATTTATTTTCTTGGAGACTAGAATTTTTCTTGTTCATTTCAGTTCCATTCTTTGACATATCCCTTTCATTCTCATTCATATCTTTAAAATATTTGTTTTAGCATTCTGTCATTACAGTTTCATCTCAAATTATTCTTAATTCTATTTACTCTGCAAGGCCCCTTGCTTAACCCTTTTCCCCTACTTCCAAAACCATGTTTTATTTCTATCAATATTGCTCTACATTTTTGCCCCTTTCAATCTCAACCATTCCTCATTATCTTTGACTACATTTTCTGAAATTGTCTTTTTCTTTCTATATACAATAAATTTCTATTTTTCATTTTATAGCAATTACTCTCTTATTAGCATTTTTCCTTGTCCACAGGCTCCTTCACTACATCATTCTTCCAAATATCCTTTTTGATGCTTACCATTAGCATAATTACATACCTTTCTGTGTACATAATACATATTATTAAAAGTATAATTTTAGAACAACATTTATTTGAATTTTATCCATTGCTTTTACTCTGGGATTTTGCTTTGATTTTTATCTAAATGAATATTTATTTGGCACACCATGTATTGAATTAGTATTTATATGTTTCTGAGAAACAAAATAAGTAGCTTGAATGGAAATTAACAGCATTAAATCTTATGTTACTGAGTTTCTGTTTTACTCTCTCACTAAAATCAGCGGAGCAGAAAACTTCCTACATTCAGCTGGAATATGTTCTAAAGTTCTACACTCTTTTCTTCAAATGTTTGACATAGTTCCACTACAGCTACAACTAAATGTCATTGGTTATAGGAATCTGATATTATCTTTCTGGGAAGAAAAAGATTGTTCAATTTACACATCCACTATTTAAGAAAAATTATAACAATGGTAAGCAGGTAGACTTGAGAAGGAAGAAGAGGCTTACTTAAGGTGTGATTCAGATTGGATTCAGCCTGTAGCCTGGAGATTCTCCATCTTTTTTCTATTTTTGTCTCCTTTTTAGTAGAGAAGATGTGAAATTATAGAAGGCAAAATATAGTGTTAAAGGAAATGTATGCTTCACATTTCTCTACAGACATCACTCTTGTATTCATTGTACATAATAAATCCTTTTTAAAACTTCTGCACTCTCAATAAAAAGTCTAATTAATTATTCTCTTAAATATTGCC